TCAGTTTTGGAAAATTGCACAATATAAATCTATTCTAGTAGACCTCAAAAATGGAATTATGATCAGTGGAAATGGCCATGAAATGGGACCTTTAAAGATGTCTACTTTTGAACTTTTGATGGAACTCTTATCTTACCTCGTCGACAGAAGTGTCACTGTAGTTTTTGCTCCTGCTAGAGTCAGAGGGCTGTTCCTTAAAGTGTACATCTTTCTTAATGTCTTTCTCAGCCTCCTCTGCAAACTCCTGCACCTCCTCAATTTCCTCCTCAATCTCCTCCTCTATCTCCTCTTCTATCTCCTCCTCTATCTCCTCTTCTGTCTCCTCTTTTATCACCTCAATGTCTTTAGAGGAATGATTTCCCGGGAGCCAAGAAGAGTCGAGGTACTGCATGGAGAAGACTGATTTACGTCTGTCCATTTTCTTATTGTGTAGAAATGGCTGCAAACTATTGATAATGTGGATTCAATGTAACGGGGATAACACCTGGTGTGTTAAAACTGTGTGTGAACTGCAGTGTGTGATCTGTAGTAATGCCACCTGAGAGACCTGCAGTGTGTGATCTGTATTAATGCTACCTGAGAGACCTGCAGTGACCAGGTTCCTTTTGTCTTCTTCCAAGCATTCAGTATTTCATCATCTGAGCGGAACATTCTGATGGGCTTCTGTCCACTGACACATTCTACATTCCTGAGTTCCAATGGCTGAGTTCTCTGAAGTGCCTTCATAACTCCGTAGCATTCATCTATTTGCAATTCACAAATGTATGTCTTATTAAAATAAACATTATTTAATTGTACATTCTGTTCTTGTTTATGTTATTCTATTCAACATGTATAGACTTCTGCATTATGGTCACTTGCCACATTATGCTTATTGTATTTTATTTTGCATGTATAGTTCACTTCTTCTGCATTACTTGCACATTTGTCTTGCAACATAACCTTGCACTATTGTATTACTACTCTGGTACTATTTTTATAGTTAATTTTTATTTTTGTATAATTTTGTTCTATTGTTTTATGTCTTATATATTTATGTTGCATTGTTAGAGGTGCCTGGGACTAAAGATGTCCATTGCCCTCACTACACTGTAGCTTCTGTGCATATGACAATAAAGCCTTTGAATCTTATTTAATGAATCTTTAAAGCCTTCTTCCTTCTCTAGTTATATACATTCTTATAGTTGTAACATGCCAGGCAAACAAACTACCTGCATTACATCAAAAAAGTTGGTGGGAATATTATGTTTTGGATGCTTTGACCCTTTAAGCATCTTCTAAGCAAAGTCCTCAAAGGCTTTCCCACAATGGAACTCCTGCATGGACTCGGTTTTGTATTGGAAGATTAAACATGATAATCAAAACGCCTTACAAATTGAAACATCAATGTTTCTGTATGTAGACAGGTTTTGAAAGATAAATAGGAAGCTGAATTCACACATTAAAACAACAAGACAAATTTAAATCAGGAATTGAGAGGAATAGTGCTTTCTTTTTTTGAATGTATTTTTACAACCTATGTTTTATTTTTAACCTTATAAGAATAATCCTATTCATTTTTTGTTGTTCATATATATTGGTTGAAAATAATGTCTACTTTTAAAGTAATTGGAGTTATTACTAAAATAAACAGACTCTCAAAATAAACTCCCTGCAGCCATTGAAAGGCCACATCTCTTATTTTAAAGCAGGAGTTGCACGCAATTACTCTGGGTGATTTCTGATCCAATGGCTCTGTGTGTGTGTTCTGAGTGTTTTTTTCCCTATAAAACAGCTGCGGGGGAAGCAGGTAGCCTACTCTGCGAGTCACAGACATTAATTCATAGATCAAAGCAGACTGGTTTACAGACTCTCCTGTTTTGCCAATCCGGTGCTTAAACCAATAGCTCTACACCCCTGGCCGAAATGTCCATAAAATTAAGTCTGACTTCAAAATATAGTCTATCTCAAATAATGTATGCTCCGTCATTTCCCCACGTAAACATAACAGTCTGCAATGAAATGGTTGTCTAATGTGTGTTCCACTTCCTCCTTGGTCCATCGGTAACTTTCTCAAAAAAAATAAAGTCAGGAAAACGGATTTGTTTCTCGTGTTTCCTGACTTTATTTTTTTTCTCTCTTCCTTTTTTTTTTTTTTCCATGTCCCTTGAGGGGGGAGGCAGAGCTATACAATACCAAACACGTTTTATTTCAAGACACTTCATTTCACCACTAGATGGCGTTATTGGTCAATGTCACAAGGACAACACAGGAACACAACAATACAAACGTGTAGATCTATTGTGATAAATTCATTCTGAAATAAAGACATAATTTAGAAGAGAATAGCTGGGCATGTGAGTGGATTGAGTCCACATTATGCAAGAGTCAGCAAGAGTCTAGTGTTTACATAAATATAATTAATCAAAACTAAGCAGATTTATACCGTATCAGAATCTGAGCCAACTGACTGTTATGGCTGTTAAAATTAATACATTATAATTAGGAGTGTGTGGGTAGCTCTTGGTCTATAACTGGCTGTTATTACCAGTATCACTTGTAACAGTCTGGACGGTAATCACGCATGCGCAGTCGCTGCTTTACGAAGGCTGGGATGATAATTACATTTCTATGGGCAGAGCGCGAACACACCACCGGTCCTCCCTGCAGAGCGCCAGCCACTTAGGTATGTGTTTATCTGGTAACTAACATGAGGCGTTTAGTACAGAGATAGATTTTAAGACGGAAAGCCTCTGTACGTCGTGTTTCTTCACCGGAGAGCACTCCCCTTTTTCTGCCTGGCGTTTTGTTCGAGCGGAAAGCCTGCCGTGGAGCGGTTGTCACACAGGCCGCGGATCGGGTCTTGTTGCTGGGAGGAGACCATCCAGACTCGCCTCCCTGTTAGCATTATTAGCTGGCTACGATGCCCCGCTGCTGCTGGTGTATTTTCTACACGGCAGGCCACTGTAAAGCGAGGCAGGACCTTGGATAACTGGTTATACCAACGGAACTGAAGGGTCACTTGGAGAAACACCACACCTTTCAAGGTAACGTCTTCCCCGCTTGCTAACGTCACACACGGGGCCGACGAATGCAGCTCCTGTAACGTTACAGTACACACCAGCTAAGCTAGCTAACGGTTAGCGAGCTGCTTTACATCTGCATGCATGGTCGTGCAACTAATCTAATGTTAGGCAAATGTGTACCATGTCTGTAAGCAGCTCATCCCTCGTTGCTTAGGTTAACATATCACCAGGTACAAAGCTAATGTTTTGATTATAGCTAATTTAGGTTATTAGCTATTCCCTAGATTGTTCATCAGGCCAGCATTGGGACGTTAATGATAACATCAGTGATGTAAAGTAACTATTATTTACTCATGTACTATACTTAAGTACAATTTTGAGGGACTTGTACTTTACTTGAGTATTCAAATGTTACTTTGTTCTCCTACCCTACTTCAATTAAGAGGTCAATTGTGTACTCTACTATTTACTGAACGACATTTATTTAATACTTGTAGTTACTTTGCAGATTTCTGATTACTGTTATGAAATTCAATCAACACTGAAATAAGACTTGAGTTATACCTGGAGTAAATCCACAAGCTACCCTGCAGTATACAAAGGAATCAATATTAGCTCCACCTTTACCAGCTTTGATAAACACATGAATGCATCTAAAATAATAATCAAAATATATATAATTCCCAAATGGTCCAATCTCCATAATGAGAACGTTTACTTTTGCTACTTGAAGTATAATTTGATGCCAATACTTTTGTACTTGAGTAAAATGTTAAATTCAGGACCGAGTATTCCTGCTCTCTGATACTTCTACTTTTACTTAAAAAGACCATCTGAGTACTTCTTCCATCTCTGGGTAACATAATGTTGAGTTGGTACGTTGAGGATATTCTACAATATAACATGTTGTTATCTTACGTCATAAACGACATTAGTGTCATTTTCTGTGTAATGTTAAGCAGGTGTTTGCACTTGTTTTTATACAATGTTGTGGTCCTTCATGTCAGTACTATGGAGTCGTGTCCAGCAAAAACAAGTGACCAATGCAATATTGCGATGGTAATATCTAGGCAGTAAATCAGCCTGAATGGAAAAGTGAAAGTGCTCTGAGTTTGATATGGCCTCTAATTAGAAACATGAGTCTGCTAGACCTAGGCCACTGCAGATGACCTGGTATACAGTAATAATACGATTTCTTTGGGCCAGATAACTTTAAAACTTTAAACTCATCTACAAGTGCTGACTACAACATGAAAACAAAAATATGAACCAAATGAATTAAATCTGTTTTAAGAGACAGAGGACATCATTTCTTTCACTGAGACACCAAACATATTCTTCAGGGGTGGCTTTTTTGTTGTTGTTGCAGGATTTGGGTAATATCAATAAGAAGCATAGGTTAGCTTCCTCAACTATCAGTAAGAGTTCTCTGTTTTCTTACTGTCAAAATGGGCTTCCTGCATGTCATTTTGGTTCAAGCAAAACATTTTGTTTTATTGAAAGACAAAAGTTACAGCCCAACATCAGATACCTTTTGCCATTCATAATGACCATAACTTTTCATATTTGAATACAGCACTGTAGAGTCATTTAAGTACCACATGAAGCAAAGGCACTGTCCCGACACTCATCAAGCATCGACTTAATGATTGTGATTATGCCAGCAAAGATGCCACTTTGGAGGTTTATCTAAACAACAAGATGTGAGCCTGGTTGACTACTAAAGGGAGGGGTAACTACAGCAGTATTTACTTAATAATCACCTTAAAGCAGATGGAGATTTTATTTAATTACTAATTGAATAATCAAGCCACTCTCACAAGCCATGTCGATGACTTTACCACTTTGTCGATTATGGATGGCTAGTGTCCTCTACTCGGCAATGTGTTCACTATAATGGAACATATTTATTTTTTCAGGATGGATGTTGATTTATGTGCTGGCGGGGACAGCACCAGAAGAAAAGTGGACTTGGCTGGAGTTTCGGACGTCACAATGGACCTCGTACCATTGGAGATGTACGATTCTGCCAGAGCAAAAATAGCTGCCAACCTGCGGTGGCTGTTTGCCAAAGCATATGGCATTGGTGAGTAATAATATTTACATTCATGCTGGACAAACAATAAATATGTTTTGTTTTCTTTAGATTTCCTTTACATGACCTACCTACTTAATATATATATGTATGTGTATATGGTTTATTAGAAACTGGGATAGTGGTATCTGCAACATATTTTCCTCATATCATAGTTATTTCAGAGGTTATTGTTGCATACTTTTTCAAAATGTTATCCACGTACTGCCACCATTGTGTTAAACTTCCATGATGAAACATAGACAGGAAAAGGGAAAGAAAGCCAACATGAATTCCCCCATGACACTTGGCAGCTGAAGCCTCCCTCACTGACTCACCAGATCCTTCCATGCGTGTCTGTCGGCCAGTGAGATTGAACCAAAATGAGACTGAGTGACAGGAACTGAGGATTAGGGTTCATTTGTTAGACTGGCCTCAGAGCATGGAAAATACTGATCTGCACTGCCAGTCACTCACCCGTACCCCCCCAAATCTGTTAATATGGGATTGGCCTGTAACCGGGCTTTTCAGTCTTGTCTGTGCTTGCAACAGTCTACTGATGAATACAAAATGAGCTGTATGGAATTGCATTTGAGGACAACCCTTAAGTAGACATTTCCTTGTGGCTGCAGAACAAGCAACCTTGAAACCCCTGGCACTATTACTGCTTATCTTCTGTTGATTTCTTCATGTCCTAAGTGCACTTTCTCTTCCTGGGTGCAGCTAGTGCATGATGAAGCAAACTATTCACATTTTCTTTATGTTTAGAAGAATGTATTGTAGATGTAAACTTAAAGTCGTCCTAGTTAGTTAACAGTTAGTTTGAAAGTCAGGCGGCCATATGAACCTTTACACAGGTTTTGCGTGCTGTAATTTGTATTACTCCTGTTGGTAAGTGGCTTCTAATATGTTCTCTATGTAAGTTCTGGTAGACAAAATCTACAGTTCCTGCTCTGCCAAATTGTATTTAGATGTATCTGAAGATATATGAGATCAGCAGTCTGAGGTGATCAAGTCAATTGGAGATATCTTCTAAAATGTTTTTAGTGTAACGTTTATGTGCACCTTTGTAACACATCTTACCTTCATGATGATTATTGTTTTGTTAAATTCATTTAGAGTGATGTTGATTCCAAAGACAGATGTGCTGCTGTTGGAATGTTATTAAGTTATATTTAGAGGTTTTTAACACCCAGTTGTCTATACTGCCAATAACTATCTTATTGGCATATACTGGTTTTGACCAAGTTACACAACATCATAGCTTTTTTTAATTAGTGGTGGTTGTCAGCTGTGTTGTTTTATCCCAACTGTAACACCCTATATCTTTGTATATCCACAGAAGTTGAGAGCAGTGAACAGTCAAATGTACTTTTCTTGAAACAGACTCCTACCCTTAAAATCTACCGGCCACTAAACTGTTGCCATGTTTTTCAGATACACCAGATATTATCATAGACTTTGGAGTCCAGTGTTTCTTTGTGCATACCTATATATTATCCATGGGTAAAAAAACCTGCTGTGTGAGAATGTTGGCCTAATTTCTCTCCTAGATTATAAATATTTAACCTCTTAACGCAGACATGGCAACGGAGAACATCCTGACTGTTTGGCATTTGTTTAATCATCCCTCCTGGAAAGGTTGCAGGATGAACACCACAGAAAGCCGCCATTGTTTTTAATCCAGGGCTGCTATCTACCTTTTGGTTTGCAACACAGTGTCTCTTTATTGTAGAAATTAAGCCAAGTCAGTGCAAGCCTTGGCTACTTATTGCACAACGCCCATCATTCACTGCTTTGCATGTCTGTTGCATCAATGTAATCTCTGGTCAAATCCTCCATCAGGATTTAACAGGCTCATACAAGCTTTTCTTTGTATTCTGCGGTCACATTTATATCTGTGGTCATTACACAGATTTTCATAATGCCCCGGGAACTCATAATAAACAACTGACAGTACGATTGGAGATTTCATGGTAATCCAGGTTGTGGATGGAAAGCTACTGTCTGTTTTTTTAGGCCCAGCGTTTGCCCTAGCATGTTCATTAGGCTTCCCATTTCTGTAGAGTTCATTCAAAAGCTAAGGCATGTGCTTGCTCAGTTCACTGTCTGTACTCACTGGCCCTAGCTAACGATGCACGCATGAAGATGGAGCATAACAATATCTCTGCACAAACAATAAGCATGCATCGCAAATGATTTGGACGTACAGTTACAACAGAAAGCACACATTTTCTCCAAAGCTTTGGCAGCACTGAGCGAGTCATCTCTCAGGTGCAACCACAATTATCTTCCTCCCCTGGGAACTGAATATACTAGGCCCCTTTGATTTTTCCCCTGTGGCTCTTATGGTGTCTCCTAGTGCTGCCTTCTTTGCTTGGCTCTCACAATGACTGCCAGAAACAAACAGCGACGTGTAAACAAGTGACGTGGTTCTATTTGAATTAAGTGTCGTCATGTTTGGGGATGGTCAGGGATTCAGGTGTATTTAGTGTGTGTTCATTACCGTGCGATTGGCGATCACAATGTCTGTACACATGCTCTCCTGTCCTGCTGACACAGCGGCTCCTCAGCTTGTCCTTAGCCGTGCTCTCCGCTGCTCGTGCCGATCGTGTTGTGGTGCAGCTCATGCTCCGCTGACTCTGCCGTTGCACATCCCAGTTGTTTTTCAGCCAGACCATGTCCTCATGCTCCACCCCATCTTTGTTATTAAATGTTTCTGCTTGGCCCATGGTGGCAGGAGGGCGGGGGGCAGCTGCCACACAACATCATTGTCTTCGTAATGAAGTCAAACGTGAAGTCTCTCCCCAGCCAGACCCCTTTTGTTTTTATACACAATCATTACCCCTGTTCTAGTTTGTCTATGTAGTGAGACACAGCTCTCTTGGAATGACCCACACTACTGGTAGCTGTGCATTAGATGAATGCTGTTTTACAATAACATCCTTATTTGCGCTAATTTGTGCAGTGACAGTTTGTCGGTGAGGCTTCTGTTGTGTTAATGCATGCGGCATACACAGTGAGTATGATTCATACTGTCTGAGGTTTAGCAGCTACTTACGTAAGGGTTGTGTTTATCATATTAATATCGCCATTTCAGTTTATACCTTATCATGCAATCTCATTCTTACATATCTTTATAGCTGTATGTTAGATTTGATGCGTCAAACTAAAGGCTCGTAATCACTCCCTGATGGAAATGCCCTGAGCCTATTGTTAGGTTTGGGATATCCCCACTTCTTCAGTAGCAACAGTAAATGACAAGACTGTGATGCACCACTTTGCACAGGAAGAAGCAACAACAGATCTAACAACAGAACAGAGCAGCACTTTGGTCAGGAGGAATCTTAAAACAAGACTGAATATATTAGAAACTCTCCTTTCATGTCATGGATTTGATCCTATTCTAAGATACTTTTGAGTAAAAATCAAGATGGTTGCCACACACGGGGTAATACCACACATTTATACATTAAGATAAAACCACAAAATATAATATGATGTAGGCCACAAAATTAACTTAACTGTAAATGACTGCTGACTGCCACACATGTTCAATGTGAGACTTAACAGTCCGTCGCCCTACCACAATACGCTATGATAGCCACAAATGAAGTATAGTAAAATGGTGTCCCCCTAGTGATTTGAACCGGAAAGCAGATTTCCATTTGAACTGGGCAGTTAATTTGTGCTCCATGTATTAGGATCTACAAAACCTGCTGGAAGGAGCTGCCTTCCTGTGTTCTGACGTGTGTCTCTCTTTGTCCTGCCAGTCAGAGCAGACGCTAAGACCCCTTCACATGCACCCATACGGCTTATGCTGTGCTATTGCAGCTCTACAGATTGAACAGAAAACAGTTTTTTCTGTCACCACATCGCACCATATAGTGCAGGGTTTTGGACAGGCTTTGAGACTATTTTAAGCCTCTGTTTGCAGTATAAATGATGTGTACATGCCTGAAGTCAACTGCTTCAACCTTTGCCCTTATATGGCTGTGATTTCTGCTATCGAGAGTGACTTCACATCCAAAGCAACAGAAACTCTTGTGCAGGTCATTGTTTCCTTTCTCTTTTTTTCTTTTTGAGTCCAGTATTGTTATGCAAAGCCCACCGTGTCACCTGAGAGGCCTGCTCTCACTGAGCACTCGGATTAGCAAGGATCTGTTTCCCAATGAGCTCCTGAGGCAGTGAGCTCTGACTTACACTTACAAACGGCCATGTTTGCTCCATGTACACTAACGCAGGCGTAGAACAAATATTACATGGAAAGTTGTCACATTCCTGTGTCCTGTTGACGCTGAAAATGTTTGATGGGTGTATGCTGAAGCAGATGGAGATGTAGCACCGTCATATTCATACAGTATCTTGCTATAGTGTTTTTACCAGCGAACCCATATGTCTATCTTAAACAACACATGGCTTCCCTAACCACCTTCTTCATTGCAGACCATATTCCAGAGGATTTAAGGGACCCCTTCTACACAGACCAGTACGAGCAGGAGCACATAAAGCCGCCTGTCATCCACCTGCTGCTCTCCTGCGAGCTCTACTGCCGTGTCTGCGCCCTCATCCTCAAGACGGAGCAGGCGGCGTCCCTTCAGTCCCACCTGTCCGTCATCCAGGCCCTGTCCAGAAAGGGCATTTATGTTGTGGAAAGTGACGATACTCCCGTCACAGATGAGGACCTGGCCTGTTTGCCCATCAAAATGGTGAGTGTTTGGACTTAATGTTTAGGTACATGTGTTTGCTTTATACTCCTATTGTATTCAGCGCAAGCAATACATGATGTTGATGTAGCTTTGATCAACCTCTTGCACACATTTCCTTTCAGAGAAGAAAGAGATCAGGGCAGAGGCTCTAACAACTTTGCACATTACCTGTAACATCCACAGCTCTTCCTGCTTCTGATGTGTTATCTTTCCACAGAGAGACCAGTGGAAAAGGCTTCTGCTTCTATCCACGACAGTGCCATAGCTAAATGTGTTAGGTGATGTCTAAAGGTGTGTTTTGCTCCGCTCACCGGTCCCTCACAGCGGACAGAGCTGCAGGTGCTGATCTCTCTCTCTCGCGTCCGNGTGAGTTTGGCTGTGTTTCGCTGTGTATCGCTAAACAAGGAAACCACACCTCCACGGAGCTCAGCGCGATTCACAACGTGAACCAACCAATCAGAGCACTGTGCTCTGATTGGTTGGTTCACGTTGTGAATCGCGCTGAGCTCCGTGGAGGTGTGGTTTCCTTGTTTAGCGATACACAGCGAAACACAGCCAAACTCACCCTGAGCACACACAAAGTCACAGCCGAAGTAAAAACAATAAGTGTGGCTTGATATTGAGTAAGAAAAAGGTTGATAAACGCTGTGAGAATGGGTCTGCAGAGAGAATTTCGCCGCGATCCCAACTGTCTGTTATCAGCCTGCAGCCAGGGAGCAGAAATCAGCAGAGCTGCACTGCACTGAGTGTGTGTGTGGATTGGTCAATTTGGACCAATCAGCGGGGGCTTAACGTAACGGCTCCGCGGACGTAACGTAACGGCTCCACGGACTGGCCCATTTAGTTCCGGGTACGTGCTTTCGTAAGCACGTACCCGGAAGAATCAAATGGGTGATGACGTTTCACCAACGAGGCGTTTTGGGGAGGTATTTTCTGTGTTAGAGTTTTACTCGCTACAGGGTGTACTTTAAGGGTTTTGACCTATGGTTTTGACTCTGCACACCGTTTACCTGCAGAAAAACCTTCATAACACACAAGGGGACGGGTAATCACCGGAAAAGCATGACATGGGAGCTTTAACATCTAAAAATACTGCACATAGACAACACAATTATAATTGTTTTATGTTTCACAGACAGAGGACTCTGAGAGATCTAGGAGATCTAAGAGATCTGAGAGATCTAAGAAATCACCTGGTCTTCATGAAGCCCTGGAGAAGGAGAGAAAAGCCAAAGCTGCTCTTGAGGAGGCTTTGAAGAAAGAAAAAACAGCTACAGCTCAACACAAAGAAGCCCTGAAGCAGGAGCGAAAACGAAAAGACGCTCTTGCAAAGGCTCTTGAGAAGAAGCAAGCTGAAAAGAACTCCCTTCGTGTTGAAAGGGAGTGCCTGAAGGCACAAATGGCTGATTTCAAAAAGTCACAGAAAGAGAAGCTAAAAGACACAATCTCTAAAATGACCTCTGAGCTTGAGGAGGACAAGAAGGTGATTGAGAAGCTCCGGAAAGATCTGCAGGAATCGTCCAGGCAGCACGAAAGACAGATCGCAGAGCTGATTCTGGAAGAAAAAGAACTCAAGGACCGTCTCAATGAGCAGCAGGAGGAAAGTCTGACAAAAGACAATGACATTGAATCCCTGCGCTCAAATCTCCAGAGTCTCCAAAGCGACAATGAAGCCAAGGTCAGCATCGTTTCCTCAATGCAGGAGAAAGTGAACCAGTGGGCTTCAGACCTCAAAGAAGAGCGTACGAAAAGCTGCTCGCTGCAGAGGGACCACGAGGCTGTTGTCTCCGAGCAGAAGAAGGAGGCACAAGAACTGGCCCGTCTGACTCAGGAGAACCAACACCTGGCCTCTCAAAACACAAGGCTGCAAGGTGACCTGGAAGCTGCTCTAAATCCACAGCAGTTTGAAGAGAATCAGCTTCAGGCAGAAAGAGAAACTTGCCACAGAGTGGAGGACGCCATTAGGAAAGAGAAGTCTCGTTTCTCCATGGCCAACAAAAAGGTCCAGAGCCAAGACAAAGAGCTGTCTGAGAAGACTCTGGCTTTGGCAAAGAGCCTGACAGCCGAGAAACTTCTCAGGTCGTCTCTCAAAAGTGAGAAGAAGCGCTTTGAGAAGATGGTTGTAGAAAAGCATGCTGTAGCTGGACCACTGACAAACCTCACTATCCAGCTGAGGGAAGCATCCATGTCCACAGAACGTCTGATGAACGACATACAGACATTGAGGATGGAGAAGACAGACATCAGCGCTAAACTCCATGTCCTGGAGAGAGAATATGACAGAGTGAGATCTGAAAACCGCTCTCTCTCTAAGCGCGATGAAGAGATGCTGTCACGGAAAGATGATACCATCTCCGAGAACCACTTTACCATCACTAAGCTCAAGTGCATGGTAGATGAGTTCAAAGCAAAGGAGTCAGAGACCCAGAAAAGCCAGGCAGAACTCGAAGAAGCCTTGAAACAGGACAAGACGAGAAACTCTGAGCTGCGGCAGAGACTCGATCACACCTCCTCTGCTCTGGAAAAAGAAAAAACCAGGTGTGAGAAGCATCGCGTCGAGCTCAAGGAAGCATTGACAAGGCAGATTGAAACTCTGGAGGAGAAGCACAGATTGGCTGGGGTTCTGCAGAGAGCTCAGGAAATCTTCCCTATGCTTCAGGAACAAGAACAGGCAGAGACAAACGGACGACACACCAGCGACTCTGATCTCAGGCTCAGCGAACAGAAGACTGCCCTGGATGAGAGCAGAAAGGCGCTGTACCACCTGCAGCAGGAGTACACTGATCTGGGGAGGAGGAACTGCGACATCAATGCTGAGTATTGGAAGCTTCTTAAAACTCACAGTGCCCTCCAAGTCAGACATGAGAGGCTCAGCTGCGCAAAAGGAAACCCGCGCCCAGACTTCAGTCCACATCGCTTCACTGTGAAATTGTGAAATGGATTTGAATGTGTAATGTCTAATTAAATGCATCAAAAATATATATACAGTGGCAAGAAGAAATGTATTCTAAAATATGGACTGATGTTCACCTAAGGTACAATAATCAACAAATACAATCCGTTTTTACTACTAGCACAGCAAACATTTATAATTTTGTATGTCTTTATTAAACATTCAAAGGTGGAAAGGTAAGTGAAGCCTTGGATTTAATAACTGGTAAAACCTCCTTTGGCAGCAAAAACATTCCCAGGATGTTACAGTCATGTTATCTTTATTGTCAATCTTCTGAGTGTGAGATACAGACAGGGAGATCAAATGCTGTTTCTCACAATCCGGAGGAATACAAATTCAAATATAAAAAATATATATATAGCCTACATAAATGTATAACATCCTGTAGGCTGCACCCAAAGTGCAAAACACCTAATATATCTTGCAAAATGAATGACTGCACTCAAACACTTACCAAACCAAACCATTGCACCAAATGGTACACACTTTGTACAAGACACTTTGTACAACCAACTACACAAAGTGGTGCTTAATCAAAAGCACACTCATCTTTTAAGGCATTATGTAGAGGATTCTGCATAGAAAGATCGTTCAAGCCTACACAAATATGTGCAGAAACACAAATATACTGCCATTTACTTTTATTTTCTCAAAAAGAAATTGGTGCAACTTTCATGCACAAAACATAGTTACGGTTGTGTAAACAAAAACGACGCCTCTGTGAAATACAGCAAATGGAAAGGAAAACTTTGAGGACAAATAAATACACATAATGTTACAAATAAAACAGAGGAAACAAAGTGCTAAGGCTGCATCTCAGAGGTCAGCATCCTGACAGAACCTTTTCCCTGAAGGAAGTGAGAGGGGTCACCCACAATGCTGAGTGCTTTGTGGGTGAAAAGGTCCAGGAGTGTTGGGAGTGAGGCACAAATGAACCTCTCAGCAGTGTTCACTATGCGATGCAGGGTCTTGCGGATAGATACGGTGCAGCTTCAGAACCACACCGTGATGCAGCTGCTGATGATGCTCTCGATGGCGCCTTGGTAGGAGTGCATGATGGATGGGGCTCCTGCTCTCTCCAGTTTGTGGATGAAGTAGAGGTGCTGCTGGGCTTTCTTGGCGAGTGACGTGTTGTTGTTCTTCCAGGAGAGGTGCTCAGTGATGTTCACCCTCAGGAATGTGGTTCTGCTCACCTGCTCCACAGCAGCACCATTGATGGTCAGTGGGGTGGGGGTGTCGACCTGCATTTGTTTATAAATTCATTTTGAAGAATTATTCTTGGATTTCTAATGTTTTTCTCTAAATGGCATAGCAGTGCAACAATAGCTGCTGCTAAGGGTTCAAATGAATATAATTGTGTACCAAGCTGACATTTAAATAAAAAAATGATCGGTGAGAATTTAGCTTTCAGCTAGCCAATCTGAGATAAGAAGGTAAAACCAATATATGTTATGGTGAAACATGTCTGATTTAAAAAAAAAAAAAAAGAGAATGTATGGAGTCAATAAATAAGTACAAAATATATACAATACTACACATAGCTTAAGGATATTTCAACCTTATCGTCTGGAAAGTACTAACTGAAATAGAGCACTTAGACCACGCATTAGAAATAGAGTGCATAAGAGAGAGCACTTTCTTGAGGCAATGAGTTATCCCCCGTTCGATTAGTCACCCATTCAAAGAAAACACTGATTCCAAATAATACAGCCACAAATAAAACCTTTAATGCAATAGTGATTTAAATGCCAGTAGCCAGGAGGCTGTCTGAACAAACAGACCGTGAGAGTATATTGCATAGGTTGTTAATTAGGGACAGTCCTGCATGAAAGCTGAGTGAAAAGAAAAACCTGTGCCTCCAACAATCCTTCAGTGTCCCTCAGCAATAAAGTTCCTTTTCTCATGTTCCTGTTGACCATTTTGAAAGGTGTCTGCGTTTCCTGTGGAAATGTTTTCTTTACAATCTCCCAGTGTTTGTTTCAAGATATTGGGGGAGTGTTGCGTATGCATACTGATGCAAAGCATGGAGGTGGTGGCTGGTCACTGGGTCATGATGAATGTCCACTGCATTGCAGAACGTGGTGTAGAAATCCTTCTTTATTCAAACAACACTTTAAGTCACACTGAGACCTACCAGTCCATGAGCACATTTCACAATGGTTTGTAAAAACAACATTTGAATCATTAAAATTGTTTCACATTTGTAGATTAGCTTGAGGTTTGCTAAAAAATGCTATAAATAAGAGCAAGTTGCTAGTTTGGCTTCGATATAAATAATGTAATAATACATAGTTCAAACAGACACTTCTCTCTAAAAACATTTAAATATTTTCAAATATTGCATTTACGAAACCATGTCTTTTAGTGCTCTTATTCATAAAGTTCTCCACAGATTAGTTAAAGCCATTTTCAAATGCCAAAGTAGTATGGGGTGAGCAGAGGTTTGCCATAAAGACAGGTTTAGAAAAACAATCTCAGCCTCCCTGAGCAGAAAGTCACATCAATACCACATTTTAAATATTGAATAAAAACACTCAAAAGCTTGGCAAAACACACCACCCTCCATATTGATTTGTAACTTTCAGTACAAGCAGGATCGGCCTTAGCATGCCTTTTCGTAGCTTGAGATGTTCACTACTCAATGCAAAGGCTAATATTGTTGAACACCCATTGCAGTTCACACGCTTCTAAAACTCGAATCAAATCTATTTCTTTAAAGGTCAACAGAAGTCCTTTGCTATTGCACAGAAATACAGGGCATTTTTCAATGGATAAAACTAATGACAAGGCAGGTTATATAGTGACATTTTGTTTTTGTTTTGACAGCATAAATGTCCACTGCTCTCAAGAAAAAGAAAAAAAGTAAACCAAAGACCCAACACAGGTTGCGTCTCAAATTCTATTATTTCTTTGTGTATGAAGATGCTTTCCCCCTGCAGCATGAAGTGAACACGCATTTTCATCATTCAAATTTAAGGTTACAAAAAGGCAAACCCCTTTTATATTAGGCGCAGCTTCATTTCCACATTCCACTACAGCCTTTAGAGACAAAATATGAACCCTTCTTTCAACTTCCTCAGTGCTGCAGTGAGTCATATTCATAGAGGTGAACAAGTGCTAAATGAGCGCAACATGATAATATGACATTCAAGAGCACATTGACAATAAACACACAGGCCTAATATATCCTTTTCTTGTAAAAACATGACTAAGACACAAACAGTTTAGTGTACAGCTTTCATCTAAAAAGGCAAGAAAGTTAAATAAATATTCTTGAAGAAGCCCAAGGACAAACGTTCTCCACTTTTTAGAGAGAGGTGGTTGATTTACAGTGACCTCACAGGTGTGAATGGAGCGAGAGGTAACCGGTCTGAAAGCCCGTTTGAAACGAGCTTAAGCAAACACACAATACTTAAACAACCAGCCTCTCAATTATAAGCAGTTACTTTGATAAAAACTAGAAAAAGAGGAAAGAAAAGCAAATTGTGATACTGACAGAAGTCTTTCAAACATTCACCACAAATGAAATGTAACAATTTAAAGAGACAGACAAAACTGTAATTGATATTTAAATATTGCAAAAAATACAAAAACAGTTTTCTTTGAAGTGTAAACATTGAATTCATGTCTGATGTCATTTCTGCACATGGAGAAATTATATAAAATAAATCATGTCTGTCATGACTATAACTATAAATTGTTCTCATTAAAATGTAAAAACATACTAAATCTCTTTTTTTTTATTATTACTGTAATAATGTTTATGTTAACATTTCTTCCGTATAAGTGTATTTACTGTACTGTTATAAATAGTTTATATGTGTAACATCTGAACTCAAACTCCTCCAGCTTTGTCTTTACGAGGCAAAAACAATACTCGTGTCTCTGCCGCACCCAGATACACACACACATCCATACCCACGCTCACTCACACACACACACACACACACACACAAGCTGCCGCAGTCACACAGGGGTCACCAGGAGGCTCTATGTGCGATTGAGGGTCTGGAAGATTCTGGATATTTGGAGCATGACAGGGCCGGTCTCAGGGTCGTTCATCCACTGCGTGCTGTTCAGAGGATTCTCCAACATGTCTTCAAACGCTGCGCACAAACACAGGGGGAACCCATAAGGAATAGATATTTGAAAGAAACAGCAGCCTTTCAAATATCTTTAGAATTAAATGTAAAAGCGATTTTGTTCAAACCCCATTTTGTTCTATAGATTTAATTGATGATATACATTTTCTATTGGTTATTTCTCGTTAAAAGTAAAAGTAGATTGTTCAAGGTCTTTTCACACCTAACCTGTACAGCTCAAAATTAAGCCGGTGCCCGTTTGGTCCCTTTTGATTAGGGGGGTGTTAAAGCTCTAAATCAAACTCGGACCAAACAACCAGCTGGGGATCACTTGAAGACACAAAGCGTATCAACCACTTTACATTCTCATAGCAAAGTGTTAGCAGCATTAAATCAAAAGCTAAACTACAATTAAAAGCATCTGCTGATTGCGTAGTCTTTAGGAAGCAATCCTTTTAACTGTATAGCCTAGGCTCAGAGTTAAAAAATAAATCTGTGGCGATTTGCTTGTAATTATTGTATGATGTAAGAAGTGTAGTTCCATGAAGCAGACCAAAACTAATGACTACCCCTGTAGCTTGGTTTGACAGATGTTTTTGCAGCACCATAGTGCCATTGACACTTATCACACCAGCCCAAATGAGCTGTACTAGCCAGACAAACAGACTCACGTTTGTTTGAACTAAACCAAAAAGGATAGGTGGTAAAGCACCCTAAACAAAAAGTGCATTTTCTCTTTTTTTGTCAGTTAAGTTCATTGCATTTTTTTTTATTAGTTTTTTTCCCCCGTTTCTTTTGAGCCTGCCTCGGTATGTTTGCTACAGATAGTGATGTATCATTTTGTACAGAATGAGACTGTAATGTCCTGGAGTTTGAACACTCCTGCTTTACCTAGCAGGGTCTTGGGATTGGTGAGGCCTAACTGGACCACTGGATTCTCCAGAATGGCTTGGAACAGCGGGCTGCTGGTGTCGATGCCTTTGTCCAGATCTTCTGGAGAGGGTTTCCTGTCCCCCAGCAGCCACTCACACTGCAGGACGGAAACATGTATAGTGAGAAACCAAAACTCCCATATAGTTTTAGAAAATACATTAATATTTCGATGGACGGCACAGTATAGGATTTGTATTCAGATTATTTCCTTTTACTTTCAAATGGATATGGTATGTTTTGCATTGTTGGGCCACACATGGTCTTTGTAAATGACTGCAAATAGGAAAGCTTTCTATCAAAACCAAGAAGGCCAAGTCACTATCGGCTGCTGCTGTATCTTTTCTGTGCTTCTAACTAATTTACTGCTCTACCAGCTCTGCTTTCAGACACTCCTGCCGTGGAGGAGTGGACCTACCGCAGCATCCTGTTGGTTGTTATTAACCCTCAGAGCATCAACCACTTCCTTCTCATCAAACCCCATCTCCATCAGCGCAATGACAGCCTGCAGAAACAAAGAAAAAGACAATGTGTTTAGTAAAAAAAGTTCCAGTCTCATTAAACAAGACACACAGCCAATGTTCTATGGAGCTCAGCAGGTGACTTGGGGAAAAAAAAAAGATTAGCAGACAGTGGAAGAAGTAGCTAGAAGTATTCAAACAGCAGTATGTGGAAGTGTTTTAATGGAAGAGAATTGTAATCACGTTTCTATTTTCGGAGACACCGTGGAGCTGTTCCCTTGTTAAACTGAGGTACATTAAACTCTGCAATTAGGGAAATGAGAAGACTGAACATAATTAAAGTGACATAAAAACCTTATGACTAAAGCCACTAAACACTTAATATCCATGAGTGCACATTCCAATGTCTTTTTATAAGAGTCTGCCTCTGTTCATCTATTACATTTCTAAATACTGAATGTCAGATGATGCCGTTACAGACTGATCACTAACATAGTTAACGCAGCCGTTTCTGAAATAAAAATAATTTTAAGATCTTGGAGCTAAAGGATTCAGTCAGAAATATGTGCACTATAGAAAACTCCAAGATGAGCTATATGAAAGTATGTAAAAGCCAGCGTAGTACTGAATGAAAGCTCAGACAGGATGAAGCCACCCACTCTGGAGTCTGGTCTGAACTCCCGTTTCCTGCGGATCCTCTTGAAGATCTCTGTTAGTTCGTCCTGCCTGCTGCTCTCTTCAGAGCTCGCCTGGCTGGATAGACTGCGGAGAAGGTTAGGAACAGAGGCGGAGGCGGAGGCCGATGCTGAGGCGGAGGCCGATGCTGGGGCGGAAGCAGAGGCTGAGGCCAAAGGGCCCGGTGTAGCAGCTGCTGTGGCTCCTGCTGCCCCAGAGGAGTCCGGGGCAGGTATAGGTGCGTCTACAGAGGGGTCGTCTACATGCTCAATAAGCCACTCCATCGCCTGGGTGACTGACATGCTGCAGAAAGAAATATTAGATGAAGAAAACGTGTTTTTGTGCCGACCTATTCCAAATACTTTGAGTCATTTCCAGTTATGAATAAGTTGTTATTCAAAAAGACTTACTGATTCAATCTAAGGGCTTTGATGGCTCTGCTCTCAGGGAAACCCATCTCAGTGAGCTGCTGAAGGGCGGTTTCATCCACCCGGTCCTCTTCATCTTCATCCAACATCGCTACAAGACGAAGAACAACAAAGAGATCAGATATCTGAGAATAAGAGTTAGGCAATGTGGGAACTGTCTAAAACAATACACATGAGGACTTAAAGTGTTCCAGCAACAATACCTACTGAAGTACTGCTCAGGCAGGTAAAAGAATCATTCTGAGGGAGGCTTACTGTGTCTAATGACAAACACTGAGAAAGTACAAAACAAACCATCTAATTTCTCAATTCGTAAGAGCAATCAAATAAAAATAAACTCAATTCAATTGCGGCTCAGAGGTTTGCATTCCTGCTGAACCAGCGCCAGCTGAGGCTACGTGGAGTTATCCCCAACCCTGTGTTAGCTAACTCCAGGTGCTCACATTTCACACGTCAACTGGAAACCCTGTACTGCCCTTAGATGTAAATGTCTGTGTGTATGTGTTGCAACACACTGCCTGCTTGTCCTTGCCGTAACCTGCCTCTTGGGCAATGAGGTTGGCTACAGCCTTCCACAATCCCTCATAACATTGAAGGTGTAAAGAGGATTAATAGAGGGATGGTGTTTTTTTTAGATTGCCCTGTTAAAAAAAAAATAATAATGATAAATTCTAAACGTCCTACCTCAGGTTTAAACATGTATTTTGTGTTTCTACAAAAACATATTTAGATGCTGTAATTTTCGAAAATGTTTTAACCCGCATCCCGGAAAAAAACCTTCTGCTCCGATTGGCCTCTAATGAGATTGCATGTGGCATAGGAAGGGGAGCAAAATCTGATTGGCTTGATGAATCCTAACTGATTGCAATGTCCTATGTATTCTATTTGTGGGTTAGTAGGCACTCAATGTGTGTGCACAATCAGAGAAAAGGTGACTGTTGATGATCTGTCTCCTTTATGGCATTGTACGCTTTACCATTGGCCTTTTTGAAGAGTTCAACAGCGTCAGGGTTCAAAGCAAGAAGTTTCTGGGCGACTTCGATGAGAGAAACCAGGATTTTTCTTAGCTCCGTCTGAAACTGGAACAACACAAACACAAGAAAAATACTTAACATATTTGATCAAATAGCACATGTCTAAATTGGTAGGATAATTATTATTCATACAATGCATTTTAGATTTAATAATCTATACTTTTTTGTAATTAGTTTTTTATATATCAACCCTGTAAGTGAAATCTTCCACCACCCAGACCCTTACATCTCTGATGTTATGCTGGGTGACAGTGCGGTCAGTGTGGCGCGTGGACAGATTGCCGGTGGCTTTCAGAATTGCATCTTTGTCTGGAGCCTTGTTATCTTGTTTCTTCTGCGACAATAAGGATAGAAAACAAAGAGAAATAATTAAAGGCAGGAAAAATAAGGTCACAACATTTCTAGTGCAGAATTTAAAATAATAATAAAAGCTTACCTTTTCTTCTGAACTAACTTCTGCCATCTTTGGAGGGGTCGGCGGCGGTCTTTTCTTTATGAGAAGCAAAACTTCTACAACATTTATGAAACTTGGTCAGTTCAGGGAAAACAGTGTGGGATCGTCATGATCAGAAAACGGGTTAAATATTTCATTACAAATACAAACCTTTATCTTTTAGATTTTCATCAGCGACAGTTTTGCTGTCTGTGAGGACTCTCTCTGTAGCAGCATGTATGAGTTTATGGTGGGTAAGTGTTTTGGGGTCTTCTAGACTTCCGTGCACATACTGTAAAAACAAAACACAATACAAAGCATCTTAGCAGACAGCCGACAGAAGAGATGCACCTTTTGACTCTTTATATTATTGCGTAATTGACCAATTATTGTTTCAATTAATCCTAGAATCTAGAATCTACAAAAAAAGTGACATCTTCAAACTGTGTTTTCTGTTTGACGAAAAGAGCAAAGCTGTAAATATTGTATTTACAATATCATAGAACCAGAAAATAGGAAATGTTCACATCAGAGGAAGCTACAATATATTTGGCATTACTTTTTTTTAAATTATTGGTCAATATTGAAAATGTTTGTTAATTATTTTTTCAGTCAGTAATTTAAAGCTGTAACAAAAACAAGTACAGTTTACCAGCAGCAAATAAATGATTAAAGCTAAAGCCAAATATCAGACCAATACATATTCTGAGTATGTGCTGCATATCTCTTTGTCATATAATTGTACATTTAAAAAAGACTAATCAAAACCAGAAAGCGTCTTTGAGTTTTTAGAAAAGCGCTATATAAGTCTCATGTATTATTATTATTATTAAAACATTTTTTTTAAACTGGGACTGAGAGATTTGAACAACTCTTTTTATTAGGTTCTGATGTGTTATAGACGTATCTACTAATTTTAAAGGCCACTAATCAACTACTTATTTTAGCACTAAAACTATAAAAAGGTAGATGATGTCCAAGTAAAGTTAGTAAATGAAAGCCAGATGTCTGGTAATACATTTCTATTTTCAATGTGAACTCTGTGTTCATTTGTTGTTGTCACACAGAAATGTGTAATTGAATCTGCACACTTCTCACGTCGTCATGAGAAACAAACATCATTAGTCTGCCACCTGAGGTTATGCTATATAGGCCATAGAAGGAGAAGCTATACGAGCTGTATAATAATAGACAGCCAGTAAAGCAGCATGCCTCTCTGTCTAGCCACCACTGTTAACAGAAAAGGGGCAGAGACGGACTTTTAGCTAGCTAGCATGAGAGGGGCAGCCAACCTGCTAAATTATAAATAGCAAGGTCTACCCAGTTACTATAAATACAAAGCCAGTGACACTGACAGTTTACACAGAGGGTTGGGAAAAATGCAAACACCCCAGGCAGAGGAGTGACAGGACAAAAAAAACAACAAGGGAAAACACAAACAACCCAAAAACCTACATGTTTCAAGCACTTCTCCTTCAGTTTCTCAACAGTGGTGTCTTCCGTGACCTCCTCCAACCACTCCGTGCCGTCCATGGTGCATATATGTATTTTCAACACTTTCCCGGCGAATATCTTCTCCTCCTGGACGAACATAGCTGCAGTCTGAGGGGGAAGAGTACCAGTCCAGTGACGTTAGCTAGCAGCAGTTGCTATGTGCTCCTGGCAAGCTAGCGTGCTAATGTTAGCATCCAGCTAGCCGTCGCTCCTTAAATCCTCCGACAGCTGAGTAACACAAGGCGCTGATTAGCTGAGGGCCATCTCCGCTTTCCTCTGCCGGCTTTCGCTGCGGTGCCAACCGGCTAGAGTTCTCCGTGACCACCGAGTTGTTTATTATTCCCAGCAAACAGACAAGCTGCCAGACAGCGAGTACCCTATTTTTACTGTAATATTGGAACTTTGAACTTCAACGACGCAACTGCGCGATGCATCATGGGGGCCGTAGTTCTTATGAGGCAAAGGCCGTCCAGTGGACACAAAATCAGCCCGGTTCATAAACATAAGTGTAGTGTTGCCTGTGTGTACACACGTATCGTATCATTTTTGTTTTTTAACTGGTTGTTCACTGCCCATGTAATTGATATAATTTAGATTTCAATATATTTACATTTTGTAATTCAGATGCTGAAACATTTTAACAAATCTTCTTGTATTATAACTTCAACAATTTGGGATACTTTCCAGTAGCCTACTGGGTAACTTATTACCTAAATATTCCTATTTTAACATGTGAAAATATGAAAGTTTGCCTTCTATAGGAGAACAAAGAAACGGAATATGGAAATAATTATTTGATTATATTGGCAAAATATTTAATTCACAAATATGATTCCCACATTGTACCCATCAGTTGAGCTCTGGTACTTAAACTAAAATAACTATACATGAAACTCACCCCAGTTTTAAAATACACCAGTAGTTAGGCTGTCTGAAATCAAAATGTGCAATGTGGTAAGCTTAAATATTCCCTTAATGTGTAAGGTTTTCCTAAAAACACAGAAGCAGTCAGGAACTTTAGATTACTTCGGACCCATAAATAAATGTTTTCCTAGTAGTTAAATGAGGCAATGGAAATACATACGTCAGGCAAAGATTGCTTTATTTAGTTTTAACCTTCCATGTTTCCACAACATAAACACGCTGCAGTAACTCTACAGCTGAACCTTATATTTAGGTCACTCAATTGTAAAATGTAACGCTTATACTTGCCACCACTAGAGGGAGACACACACAGTAAAATAGTTGCACTTGGCCCTTTCAAAATGTAAATATGTGCAATGCTTTATTTTATGAATAAAAGTCCCTTTCAATTAAAACCTATTGATTTCATCTTGGAATGATCGGAACAGTTTTTACTGTATTTATAGAACTACATCTGTAATGACTTACTAGCTAATTGCTTGTTTCACACAGTGTGTATACTCAACATGGATCTTTAGTGAAAGTAATAAATAAAAATGAAGACAGTTATCATAAGTTCAAGACACCAGGTGCCTTTTTATTATGACAAGAACATTTTTTTACAAATTGAAAATGAAAAGGGTAAAATACATTTCTTGTAAAGTATACATTTATACGGGGAAGGAAACATATTGCAGATATCATTACTACAACCTAATGTTTAGAAAAACAGAACAAACATTTTGTAAACTCTATAGGGAGTGTCTCACAAAGTACTGAAGCCGAGACAACAGAAAACTTGGCCAACAGTTTCTTTTTCACAAACCAAAGTGTAACAAAAACATTTAATGATATGCACAAATGGTTGCCTCAGTGGATTTAATGTGTTACAGAACAGTCAATAAATATGAATTTATTATACCTCAATATTTATGTGTTTTTTCCTTTTTATGAGAAAAATGTCTCCTAACAATATATCTATTTGTAAATAGTTCAAATTTATTTATGCATAAGGGACATTAAAATACAAAATATAAATTCTGTTTGACATTTTAGAGGCTGTTGACTGGTGCGAGACCTATCAAAATTGCATGCTTAAGACATCAGATTTCTTAAACAAAATCTTGCTTACAAGGGAATTATACAAAAAGGAAGAACACAGCCATAGGCTCAAACTAATAGGAGGGAGAGGGGAAATTCCTTTTCCTTTTCCCTCCGGACAAGATCACACACTGTGGCCAACGGGCCAGTTCTCAGACACCAACCGATACTTAGGCCTGTCTTAACTGCCAATCTCCAAGATGGCTGTATACTGTACAACATATCACATCTCCAACACATCTCTACACATGAACACAATCAAATCTAGAGGCACAACGTAATGTTGTCCCATTGATTCAAGAAATGTACACAATTGTAGAGAGCATAACTAAGAATTACGTGATATTTTAAAAGGGGGGGCATTGTGAAAACATACAGGACATGTGTTCTGTTAACAGTCATAACTCGTTTATCAACGACTGACTAAAATATTTGCCACACTAAGAACAAAACACTGAAATAACACTGAACTTAAAATATGCTATATAAAATGCCCAATAATCACAAGTGTATTTATAAACAAGATTATACAAAAAAACGAAATATAAACAAAGATTGGGAAATCATATGAAAAAGGCAAAGACTAAAACTCCCTAAGGAAATAAATACCCAGTGTGTATGCTGCGGCTTCACTGAAGAAAATAAATGCTAAAAGAAAAGAGACAAAACTCTGTCCTGCGTATGACCCTGCACCACGGATCCCCACCATTTCTGTAAGCAGGCAATGCGTATAAATAAGGCATTAATAAATAAAAAGAATGGATGAAATAAAGGTGTAGCTGTTAGTATAAAAGCATATCAAAATGTCCTATGAAATCATGTTTACAGTTTTGCCCTTTTTCTTTTCCATTTTCAACAAAGAGTGCCTTCTTATAATAAAAAAATATACAGCAGCTCATCTGGGCGGGAAGCTTGTTTTTTTATTTGAACTGTTCAGGTATATGTCCCATCTGAGACTGCATGCTCGTCGGTGGACTTGAAATGCCCTCCGACCAGTCGGACATGTTGGAGTGAGGAGAAGAACTGGACCACTGGTCGGGGGAGCCGGGGGAGGGGGTCAGAAAGGGGTGATCAGGCACCTGCACCTGGTGGTTTGGGGTGTTGTCCATGGGGCCTGAATAGCTGTGCTGGGAGGGTGGGGTGAGGAACTGGGTGCTGGGCATGGACTGGCTGATGATCTGGGTGTCCTGCGGCAGGATGGTGTGGATGGGTAAGCTGGAGTTCCCGCTGCCCTGCTGGAGCTCCGGGGAGCCCAGCTCGCCGCTGATGAAGTTCTGGCTGCTGGTGGTGTTAGAGTTCTGGTGCTGCAGCTGGATGCTCTGCTGCTGCTGGAGCTGCTGCAGGTTCTGCATCTGCTGCATCTGCTGCTGCTGCTGCTGCTGCTGCTGCAGGATGTGGGGCTGCGGGCCCAGCCGGCTGTTCTGAATCCCCTGGTAGCTCATCATCTGAGACAGGCTGTTGGCAGGGTGGCCGTTATGGAGCGCGGCCATCATGCCGTGCTGCAGGGCTGCCTGACCCCCGGCTGCTCCTCTCATGGGGTTAAACTGGCTGGACTGGCTCATGTTGCCGTGCATCCTGGACAGCCAATCGCATTGGCCGTTGATAGCGCCCTGACCACCGGCGCCAGACACGGGCATGTGGGTGAGACGGGGGGGCAGCGGGTCAAACTGCATTCGAGCCAGCTCCTGCTTGTTTGGCATCACCATGTGGTTCACAGACAGGTGGGGGTCGGACATACCCTGCAGATGGTTCAGGGACACAGGTGACTGCTGGAAAGGGGACGTCATCATGGGCGGTGAGGCCACGTCAGACACGTAGCCGTGTGGAGACTCCAACGAGTCAACCGGTGACAGAACACCTGAGCCGTCCAGCAGGTTTCCGGACTTCCCGTCCTGCGAGTTCTTCTTCTTCACCTTCATGTCTTTGCCGTCCTTGCAGCCGATGCCTTTGGCGCTGGGCTTGCGCGCCTTCTTGCCCTGGCCCTGAGGCTGGTGCTGCTTCATACCCAGGTAGCCGTTGGGCGAGCAGAGGGGGGGGGAGAGTGTGGTGCCCATCGACCCTCCATGCATGTGAGGGCTCCGTACCAGGTTGTAATCGTCCATCAGCCGCACGATGTCGTGGTGCATTCTTTCCTGCGCAATGTCTCTGGGCAGCCGGTCCATGTGGTCGGTGATTTCTCTGTTAGCAAAATGGTCGAGTAAGACCTTGGCAGTCTCGAAGCTTCCTTCCCTCGCAGCCAAGAATAGAGGCGTTTCCTCCTGAGGCAGACAGAAAGGAGACAGCGTGTTTAGAGACTTTCAGGAATGCTGTTTCGGAAGGACGTATCATTATTTGTCTTCTTAGCTTTTAATGTCTAAATAATTTGTTTTCATACAATTCCCATATCCTGTGGTTATTGATTGTGACTTTTATTTATTTCTATCAATGAATTATTTTCTTTCAAAATGTGGTCTGTTTTTTCCCTTTAAAAAAAAAAAATCTTTTTCAGTCTGTTTATGTTTTGTGAAGCAATTTGGGCTGCATGTTTGTATGGAAGATACTATATGAATGAATCTGGGTTGTTTTACAAAACTAAGAGCAGTTTTTTTTCTCACCTTGTTATTTTGCATGTCCTTGTTGGCACTATTCTTGAGAAGTACAATTGCAGCCTCCACGTTATTTACTGCTGCGGCCCAATGCAGGGCTGATTTACCTGCAGAGGTAAAACAAAAAGATTAGTATTATAAAGCATTTTTAGATGCAGTTAAAGCTCTGATTTAACTACATAAGGTACTTAATTGCAATGATTTGAAAGCTTATATCATTGGAATAAAATGGAAACCTTACCAAAATCATCGATTGTATTGACATCAGCGTGACAGTTTATGAGCTCCTCCACCATGCCCTCCACGGCCAGCCTGGCAGCCAGGATCAGGGGTGTCGTGCCGTCATGCATGCGGGCGTCCAAGTCTGTAGCACGGTTCCTTATCAGAATCTAAAGAGACACATATCATGTTACTCCTTTTATTATTTTGACTTCTGGTCTGCAATAGTATAACGATTATTTGACAGCTTTCCTTTTTAGGGCCGCAACAATTTTTGACTGGAACTTTACCAATGAATTGTAAAGTCTGTGAAATGTAAAAATGACAATCCTCATTTCACACAGCCCAGGAATCTTCAAATAGTTACATTTGTCTAAAAATCCAAACCCAAATTATTACAATTAATTAATTAAGAAATATAAAGAATAGGAAAGCAGCAAATCCTCCCACTTGAGAAGCTAGACAGGACTAATGTTTGGCATTTATATTATATATCTTAAAATTATAATTGACTGCTAATTTAACTCAACTGTTTAATCCAAGAAATAATTAAGAAATAATCTTGGCATCAAGAACCCACCTGGAAGACCCCCTGAGCGTCAGCGGCCACAGCGGCGTGGAGAGGCGTCCGGCCCATGTTGTCCTGCACGTTGGCGTCTGCGCTGGCCTCCAGCAGGCGCTTGGCGGCATCGGAACGAGCGTAGCGGGCGGCGAGGTGCAGAGCGGTCTCCCCCGTGCGGTCGGTCTGGTTGTGAAGGTTGGCACCCTGGTAGATGAAGTCATTGATCACGTTGGCGGAGGCGTCCTCCTCTTCCTCACTGTTGCCTGTTTCTAAACCTCCCCCGCTGCAGGAGGCGATCATCAGCGGCGTGAATCCATCTGGACAGGGGGGGGAGAGGGATAGCGTGATTTAAAGGAAGGACTTGTCCTGCATGGTCAGCACTGCCCCAGTGACGGCTACAGGAGCCTCACTTCAAAGCAGCAGGCAGATCAAACCAAAGCAACATACAAATCGAATGTGGATTTGACACTTTTGCCTGTGTTGAATCATCACAGCCCTCTCCTTTCGATAATGGATTTTGATCAAGGCCCCGGCGCAGGAGAAGCTTCAGAAGGAAGGCGAAGCTAGGGGGATAGAGGCTGGGGCTTGCTAAAGCTAGGCTGCTGCAAAAACTGAGAATTAATATCTAACTGTGAGAGGCAGCTCAGTCAGTGGACTTGAATAGGTTTTCTCCTCTTCAAAAGAATAGCAAGCCCCAGATCTCACAGATTTGGTCTATTCAAGTGCATCGATCCCTGACGGGAGGGGAAAAGTGTGCTCTAAAGTTGTTAACCCTGTTACTTTGATTGTTTTAGAGCTTTTCTTCAGGGAATTTGGCACTTACTACAAAATTGGGTTTTTGCATTTGATGCCCTCATGGTTTTTTGTAATGTGGAATAGAAAAGAAAACAGAGGCCCATTACTGGTCAAATGATTAATCTGATCAGGAATCAGTGTTTTCCCCCAGGCGCCAGGCTTCCAGCCGGCTGCTTTGAAGAAGATCCCTTACCCTCAGGACATGGGGCTTTAGCAACTCCTACATGCGCGATTATACACACACAGAAAACGCACACACTAGAAATGTGAAAGCTCAGCTCAGAAAAGGCATGAATCAATTCAGAAACACACACACCCACTACTTAAAAATGTTGGTTTAAAAAGTTACAAGTAATTTGTGAAATTACTTTTAAAATTAACAAAGATAATTTTGTTTCTAACAAATATTGATGAGTTTTAACCTTTAACCAACCTGAATAGGTTACAATTTCTTTCAAAAAGGGATTATATTCATATTTTGTCACAAAATTATAACTAAGCTGACATATTAAACAATTACATTTTATCTTTAATAAGTTCTTTGAAGAAGTAATTTAGAATAACAATGAAACAAAGATAGGTCTGAATCCAATGTTTCTATCTACATGTCCCCTGACAATTGTACTTAATGGTAAGTGAGTAAGCACAGGTTCGGTCACCCACCTGGTCCCCGGACATTGACATCCATGCAGTCATTCTCAATCTCGCCCTGAGGGGGTGTGGGGGCGATGGAGGGGACGCGCAGGTCGGCGGCGTCCAGGTGCTGCTGCGTCCACTGACGGTGGTCCGTCTGGTTGTCCACCTCCAGGATAGCCTGTTCGTCAAACTGCTGCAACAGAAACAGCAGGATGTGATGCAGATTCAGCATTAGAGTTTAAATTAAATTAAATGTCAGTATATTAAAAAAATAGATTTTAAATTGTAATGCATATATTGTAAACATTAAAATGCAAAACAACATTATCTTGAGTCCCTTATAGAGGTTAATTGAACAAATTCCAGAATAATTTTTTTAAGAAATTGTTTTTGCAGTTTAAAAACATTTAAAACTCCTTAAAAGCTCCATTGAGGTGTCATATTTTAGTTTCCTTACCCTAAAGCGCTTTGCATCCGAAGGCTCGTCTTCTCCCCAGTCATTTTGTGCGTCGTCCATGAGTGAAATGTCCGAGGCGTTCTTCAGTGGCCTGTGAGGAAGCAGAAAAGCCAGTAAAGATCCATGAACTCTGCTGCCTCCATCTCATCCAAGGCACTCACCATTAATGGTGCAGCAATGACGAAAAACAAAAGCATTGATTGAATCCATACCCCACCCCTCTGCCCCAACAAGTCAATTAATGCGCAACCTAAATCCGCTATATCATTATCATTAATGATCCAGGCAAAACACCCCTTTCCCAAATTTGACTGATCACCAGTTACACCCATTTTGACCATCAGAACTAGCCCTTCACCTGACCCGCGACGAAATCAGGTACCTGAACGCCACTCTGTGAATAAACAAAACTTACTTTAATCCCACAGAATCCTCTCCGACAGGCTCTCGTCTCTTCTTCTTGCTGGTCTCGGTGGTCTTGAAGCCCTCGGGGAGCCAGAGGCGCCCGTGCTCATGGCGGCGCTTTCGGGCAGCCACCATTCCCACTCCTAGGAAGGCCAGTATCCCGATGCCGGCCAGGACCAGGTAGATCGGGTAGAGGTCCTGCGATGGCGGGGGGTCCACACCGCCTGGTAGGAAAAGTGAGGACATGGTCAAGACGTGGACCGACCCAGGATCAGCCCGAGTGTTGGAGCAGAGCGAGTCCGGCTCTTCCTCGCCCCCACGGTTCCCACTCCAAAACACACCACAACCAGCAGTGAGCGCCAGGAACTGACTGACGATCCTCACCGTTTGTAAATCTAGCTTCTACTATCTATTCAGTAATAATCAGAATTGCTAAACACTTTTCATCAAAAAAGGAAAAAAAGGATGGGGCGTGATAAAAAAGAAAAAAGGGGAAAAACGAACATCACCACCTCCTCTCTCCCTTTTCAACCCAGGGTACCAAGAGACAACTTTACCATTTCTTCTTTAAGAGAAAAAAAGGAGGGGGATTAATGAACTTCAAATTACTGCACGCGCTTTAAGCTGTAAAGACGAAGGATTTATTAGGATTTTCGAGATAACAAAGACTCCCAACTTCTAGCACACTCCCGATCAATTTTTCCCCTTCTCTTTTTTTCTACTAACGATTTTGAAATGATAAACTCCCCCAACCTAAACCCTTAGAGATGCATTAAGTCCTGGTATTACATTCGGCGAGGTGAAGGTTGCAGCAGCCCCTCACACTGTGGGATGAAGTGTGTGTGCGTGCATGTGAGAGTGTGTTATCTGCGGATGTATATGTGTACATGACTGTGAAAGGCAGAGAGAGACAGACAGATAGAGATGGAGTGTTATATTGTGTGAGTAGGGGGTTGGTTGAGTTGATTTGCAGCAATTAACCATTTTGGAGCCTGAAGCCAGTGGATTTACACACAGAGAGAAGGATTGATTGTTTAGGCCATGAGATTCACAATTGCATTTGTTCAACGCTGCATAACAAATACACAATCAAAGAGCGGTAGGGTTAGGACCCGACCAGAGGGCAGGGCGGATACGTTCAGTTTGAGAGGAACAGCACGTGTCTTACCCTCTGGTGTGCATGAGTGTGAGTGTGTGTTTGTGGGTGTGTGTGTATAGATCGTAGAGCAAGGCCTCAAAGGATCGTGCCAGCAGGTCACATTTATCTAAATTACAACTCTCGTGTTTTAGATTTTGGGCTTTGTTTTTGTTTATAACCAGAATAATTAATTTATTTGAGTTGTGTAATTATCAGAGACCGCTGTACAAAAATGACTTTATAGTTGAATGGAAATGCAGATAAGGCTGGCAAGATAATATTCTATTTTGTTTTGTATATTTAAATTTGGTGTAAATACTTACAATAGTTTTTATCTTTTATTAAAAAAGATTATATTCGTTATATTTTTGATTTTTTCTTAAAACGTATTTTCTTATGTTGTTTATGTTTGCACCATCATACACCAAAGCAAATTCCTTGCAAGTTTAATTGACCTGGCAATAAACTTGAGTCTGATTCAATATTACATTTTGTAAAGACGGAAACCAAAAGTTAGTCCATCCCTCTTTAAACATCTTTAAAATGCATATATAATCTATGGCCTTATTGTTTAAAATATTAAATAACTCCGTTTTATTGCTGGGCACAGCAGTTTTCAGCAAATGTTACACAAATAAAACATTGCAAACATTAGGGACTAGTTTCAGGGGCGGATTAAGACACAAACCATAACTGCAGACAAAATAGTTCACAATAACAGTAATATCTAGATAACATTTTTAAATGATAATAATGCTGTCACGTAAATTTGTCTTGTGTGTTTAGTCTATTTTCTTTGGCAAATGTATTAAACTCATACTCGTGTGTGATGTATGAGGAGGTAGACAAATCGAGAATTGAAAGACACCACAGTGGGCGCTGGATTAATTTACAAGATATATTCAGATGTGTATTATTAACATGACTTGGTTCATCGTTCATCGTCAATGCCTGAATGTTGGCACCCCTTATGTGGAATTGACTTAAAGTGGACCTATCATGCTATATTGGAAACATATATTGTAGGGCCATACTTATACAAAACATGTCTGTGAAGTTTTTTGCTTAAAATACCAAACAGATCACCCATTGTAGCCATTTATTTCTGAACCACAAGGACATTATGTTACACATATTCTCTCCAGTAGCCTACAGCGTTAGCTCCATGGCTAGCTCTGAGTGTTAGCATGCTTGCTAATGTAAACACACGGCATATTACTCGCATTGTTTCTGATACAGCACATAGCTTGACATGTTCTTTCTTAAGTGTTTACCACTAGAACAGTGCCATTATATGTATTATATATATATATATATAACAACTTTACTCTAAGCCTCCAACATCCTGCTGAATAGGCTTGGGCGGTATGACGGTATTACGGTATACCAGGGTATTTGGAAATACCGTCGGTATGATTTTCAATACCGTGACGTCACAGACTGTGCGCCAAATCACAGATCCGTTTCATTCTATTACACTGACACGGAGTTTTGACAGGGACGACATTGGTTGTAATGCACAGCACGCGCCAGCAGAGGGCAGGGGAGGGCGGTCCGTCTTTCCCGCTCTCAGAGCTCAGCACAGAGCTGAGCTGAGCAAGATGGCGGCAGCATTTGCCGGCCCCGAACTCGGACAACTAGTAAAAAAGAAAAATGCCTCTGCGCCTGTTTGGGACATAGTAAATAAGAAAAATGCCTCTGCGCCTGTTTGGGACTATTTTGGGTTTACTCGTCGCCAGTGACTTCATCCAGCACAACGAGAGACAGAGGCACTTCTTTGGGAATGTTTAAGACGGGGTGAGTGAGTGTTGACATGTTTTAATCCTATGCAACTGGTTGATGGTTTTGTAGTCGAGGTCGGACGGTTTTAAAAACGAAAGCATTTACGTGCTAAACATTCACGCGAGTAATCCAATGAATCAAATGGAAATAAGGTTTTTAACACATGCACGGAATAATATTGCCAAACTAGTTAGTGAATATAGCAAACTTTATTCAATAAGTCAAGTATTTACTCCCGGAAAATGTTTATGTATGATGATATATTGTTAACTTAGCTCACTATGGAAACAACGTCGGACATCTACAAACGCGTCCTGTATCCGATCTCAAAATGTGCCATTTGCACAATGTGTCATGTATGCAGCCCTTGTTTTGCACTTGCGCGCACGTCGCGGCACTTTGCGAGCGTCTACCGGCTCGGGCTGCATTTTACACCGAATATATAATATACCGTTCGAAATATCTATTTGCCGCCGAACGCCACCTCGCTCAAGTCGACCCAAGTCATACCGTCAGTGGCGGC